AGTGAAAATTTTGATTTAGCTATCATCACAAACAAGAAAATAAAATAAACGTACATAACATAATAGCCTAAGTTTTGAGCATTGACGGTATCAAAAATATTTACTCATTCCGATCAATTTAAACGATAATTGTAGTTCATTTTATTAAGTACTTAGCACTTATTTGGTGAATATCTAAAATAGACCGTAAATAACCTAATATATTTTGTTGAATTACACAAAGAAAATCGATGCATGAATGCTTTTGTGTTCATGCAGTTTCAGAGAAGCAAATATAAATTTATTTATAAACTAAAAAGGATAAAATTAAAATTGAAAAGTGAAGCAAATATACTAATTAATGAGGGGAGAAAATTATTATAATTTATAAATTTATTGGTATAACATAATCTCAATCGAGTAACAAAAAATTTATACAGTAACACTTTTCTTTATACTAATTATTTATATAAATTATATAGTATATAGTATTTATAATAATAAGAATTTAAACAAATTTGGACCTTCAAATTTTGGGGGCCTAAGGCAACGGCTTCACTGCCCAAAGCCTTAGAGCCGCCCCTGGCTACAGCTTGCAACTTAAACGTATTTTACAATTAACATTAATTATCATGTCAATCGCGACAAATCACCTAATTTATGACATGAATGTCCAGTCTTTTCTTGTGCAGCCACTTCCTCAAGCTTGACTATTAATTCATCACTGGCATGGCCCGTTGTACAAAATGCAAGAGGGCTTTCCTCATATGCTCGCTAGTGTGAGAAAGAGTACCCGATTTTTCCCCACAAAATGTGCACTTTTTGGCTTAAGAATTCAAGTGGTGTGCTTGTTTTAAAGGAATACAAGAAATATGCAAAACACATTTATTGAATGCACTTAAGGATAAACTATAACGGAAAACATAGACGAAAGCCCTCAATAAAATAGGTCATAAGTTGCATATGCCTCAATTGCGATATATAAGTCGCAACTATCAATTGCGATTTATAAGTCGCGTTCTCAATCGCGACTTATAAGTCGAATTCCTCAATTGCAGCTTATACGTCGCAATGCCGAATTGCGAATTTTAGTTGCATACTATCATGATGATTGCACTTTATGAGTTGCATTATTTAATTACGATTTTAGTTCGAATAATTTCCAGTTAAATGCTCTTTGGGGTTAAGACTTGCTCAATGTTTAACGGTAGCAATTGAAACTGAACTGTTATCCTTTATCCTGCTCATGAGCTCAAGTTTTTTCGTTGGGTTACATTGATATATTTTATTAATTGCTCTGAAAAGTGAACAAGGATGTTGGAAAATTAATAAATCGACAATTGTGAGCCCTTTGTGAAAGTCGTGATTACGTAAGGAAATCTTCCTTAATTAAGTTTCTCATCAAATCCGTACCTATTAATTAAATGCAATTAGTAAGATTACTTGGAAAAGTGGTAACTAATTTGGTACAAATTAAAATATAGAAAAAAGCAACAAATTTTGGAAACTTATTGTCGGCCCTAAAAACCTTGTAACTCAAGAAACACGTAATCATATGTAGATACGGAAAAGGAAAACTAAGTAACTCGTACTAATATATAAGGAAAGCAATATCAGAAAGTTACCAAAGAAACAAAAACCAGGTTATCACTTACTAATGAGAGAAGAGAACAATTGATTCAGTGGCGGCGATTAGCGATACAGTAATGTGGACGAGAGGCAAAACCATCGGAAGAGGCAGTTTTGGTATCGTCACTTTAGCAACGACAACAAACTCCTACGTTGATATTCCATCGACAATCGCAGTAAAATCTGCCTTGTTTTCGCGTTCAAAGTCGTTATAGAAAGAAAGAATTATTACACGAGTTTCAAGATTATGATCAGGTTATTCGATGATTCAGAACTGATGTTACTGAAGAAGGTGGAAAGATACTGTACAACATGTTGCTCGAGTACGTGTCTGGTCGAAGTTTAGCTGATCGGATTGGTCAAAATTCGGGGCAACGGTTGGGGGATTTTGAGGTAAAGCAGTACGCGAAATCGATTCTGTTGGGGCTTAGTGATATTCATGGAAGAGGTTTCGTTCACCTTGACATTAAACCGGATAACATTCTTCTTGTGGGTACCAAAAAAGTTGCTAAAATTGCTGATTTCGGGTTCGCGAAGAAGGTTGGAGTAAAGAGTCGGAAAAGAAAGCGCGGACTCAAGGGAACGCATATGTATATGGCGCCAGAATCAGTGTTGGATAACGAGTACGAAACTGAAACTGATATTTGGGCTTTCGGGTGCACTGTTTTTGAGATTGTTACAGAGAAGACTGTTTGGGATTGCAGTGAAGCTGACGACATTGTTTATCTGTTATGCAAAATTGGAATGGGATCACCGGATTTGCAGAACGAAAGATTGTCAAAAGAGGCTGAAGATTTTCTGAAAAAGTATCTTGTTAAGGAGTCGAGATGGCGATGGACTGCTGGTATGCTGTTGAAGCATCCGTTTCTTTTATCCGATAATGTTGTCGTTGGTGAGCAGACAAGGAAAAAAGAACTCAACCCACTTTTGTTTATAGAAATAGCAAGATAAAGTGATCCATTGATTGATAATTTTTGCAGTACTACAAAGCTAACCAATGAAGCTGTTGAATTGCAGATCCAACAAAAGAAGAAAGCTACTAGAAGGATGTTGATTATCAATTTTGATTAGAATTATACTAATGTAAAGAACTATGTTTGGGCTTGATCCCGTTAGGAGTTTAGTTGGGGTACGTAGGCAGCCTGTAATCAAGAAAAAGATGACCAGGTCCAGCCCCTTGTATTAAACAAAAACAATTGTGTGTTGGTAAGAGGTTTTTTGCCAAGTAAATTTGGCTAGCAATTGTAGTACATTGATCTCTTTAATTTCCAAATTTTACTTTCAATGTGCTTATCCTGTCAATAGAACTCAAATCAATTTACAAGGACATCTGATCCACTGATTAGAAAGAATAAATTGAGATGGAACAAGAGATTTTTTTACTGAAACAATAAATATTGCTTACATATTGATATGTACGTACATTTATGATCCTAAACTATATCCAAAAGTATTAACAGTTTGATTGGATGGTTGTTACTTGTTGTAATGTATCATATTATTACTTTTAATACAATATTTGTTTTGATTGTTACTTAAATTTTTATCGTATCGTATCGTAAAGTCTGTCGTTACGTAACGACGAAAAGTGTCACTTTATGGAACGACTGAGTTGGTGTGGTCGCGTCGTTATTATTAAATAATCCTATAGTATCTACCCCGTTCCTTACTTTTTCTTTATAATATTGCAAGTTTATTCTTCGTATTGTTGGTGCATAACATCATCTATCTAAACATTATATATATCAAAATGATACAGTACAACATAATATAATACGATACATTATAAAACGATACATAACCAGGGGCGGAGGTAGTGTAGTAGCTACGAGCTCGGACAAACCTAGTAGCTTTTGCTTAAACCTTATATTTGTATTAGAAAAATCCATTACATATGTAAAAATATTTAATTGTGAACCCAGTAACTACAATAAGCTAGGGTTCAATGATAAGATCAGAATCCATATCCTTCAAATTCTGGCCGTCTATACAGCCCATCCAAACAAGCTGTAAGACAACAAGTTCTCATATCCTGAATCATTCTTTCCAAATACTTTTAAAATCACTTGGTTTTATTTTTTGGGGGGGTGGGGGGTGGGGATATTTTGCTGGCATTATCATCTTAGTATAATGAACTATGTCCTTCAACGGTGAAAAATAGCCCTAAAGTATGATTTCGGGAGATGGTATTTCTCAACTATCAAACAGACATGACAATCATGCTCGTTTGACAAGGTCTTTGGCTCCACCAATTGACATTCCAAGCCTCTATTGCCTCTAATATCCTTTTATTCTTCGTTTCGGACTAACTAGTATCTCAAATATTGAGTGATGATTCTTAACTAGAAGTTGTTCTATCTATATAAGAATTTTTGGGGGACCAAGGTCCAAGTCCAGTACATATAAAATACACTAGGTACTTTCATCCCATTTGTCTAAGTTGTGGTGGGAAAAGTTACCCAGCAAATGTGCTAGTTGAACGTAGCCGGTAACCTTTTATCCAGAAAAAAATAAACTGAAACATTAAAATTCAGGACGCACTAGCTAATTCCTAAGTAGCAGCCTGTGTCATTTCTACGCGCGCGAGCTGGTTTGAGTACCATCATTATAATAAATAAGTAAATATATAGAGAACATTTCCTCAGCTTGTGACTTCTGTTGTTCTCTGCTGTTTGATAGATAGCTAGAGAGAAATAATATCATGTTGGTTATTGACTAGCATTATTTGGATGATGTAGAATCAAGCAAGATCGGTAAGACGGAACTCCATAATCTTGAAATTAAACAGGGAAGAATATCAAAAGATAAGCAGCCTAAGCTTTTTGATCAATGGATGTTTAATGCTATCATTTAGAACTTTTGGG